GTTAGAGATTTAGATTTGATATTGTATTTGAGTATAATAGAACAAATAATTTATTTATAAGAGACTCAACATAATTTCTTTTTTGTATTATTGATTATATTATTCATAATTTATTAATAATAATATGTTAGATAATAGTGAAATTATAATTAGAGAATCATTAGAAAGCTATCTTAATTATCAACATGTAGATTGTGTATTAAAAGTAGAGATGAGTAAACCACATTTAAGATAGAAATATTGTGAATGTTTGTAATTGGAATCATTTGTTGAATTTGTATTGACTTGTTTAGAATTAGTAAATACAACTGTACTTATGAAACAAAATTATCAATTAAGTCATAAATTACATTTACAATATTGGAAGATATTCAATGAATTACCTTAACCAAAAGATGAAATGGTAAGTTTCATTTTAATTGCAGTATGGTTCTTAATACATAGTACAATATTTAAATTACAAACACAAGAAGAAAGAAATAAAATTGATCAAAGATTTCTTTTCAACTCTTACCATGTTCTATTATATTATATTAATGGATTTTATGTATCAGATGAATTCGTTTAATAATAAGTCGATATGTATCTTAATAATAGATATTTGGATTATAGACTCAATTCATTTTAAAAAAAGAATCTCAAAAAATAATAGATGTAATAAACTCAAACTAATTTATTCCCAAATGTTAGCATACCTGAATTAACATAAGTCTAAGGAGCAACTTAATTTTAAAAAGAATTAAGATTTAGAAAAAAATAAAAAAAATAATAAAGTGAACCTATCCTTGTTGAATAACCACCATAATAATTAACAAGAATGGAAAATAGATCAGATAGAAGTGGTCGATTTCCAAACTCTATTAAATTTAATCTTAATCAATTATCACCATCTATTAATTCACTATTAAATCTCAGCAATAAGGCTACTCCAAGAGCTAAATTAGTTACACATTAAATTATATCACATAATTTTAATTAAGCTAAAGTATCAAATGTATTAAAAAGTTTGGATGAACCAAGAACTACATTAACTTAAATGAAAGAAAGCAGAGATAATGGAAAAGGTTAAAGATTACTTGATAAATATAGAGTTACTTAACCACCTCTTGAGTATTTTAAGAAACATCCAAAAGTTGATCATCTTTTTAGAGATATGTTAGAAATGAAGCTTGTTTTATAATAGAGTCATTAACATATTTATACATCTCCTAGATTAGCAAAAGAAGATTCAACTGCATTAAGAGAAAAATTAACTCAATATTTGGAAGAAAGAACATTAAAATAAAATTTGAATCCACAAAATGATATATTATAATAGAGTCCATAATTTGGATCTAATATGATGATTACATATTAACATGTTAGAACACCTAGTGATGGAACAAGAATGTAAGAAACATATTCTGTATTTCCATAAGGTTAAATTAGTTCATTCCTTCAAACACAAATAACACAATCCCCATAACCAAAATCTAATAATAAATTTATTTATGAAGACAAAAGAAAACAATATACTGATAGATTCAATAAAGCTACTAGTAATTAAACTACAGATGATAAAATATCTAATTTATAACATAATCTACTAGTTAAATAACATATGATTTAATAACATTTAAAAAAATAGCATTGATTTATTAATTATATATAATTCATTATATTACTTTTATAAACTATAATTATATTTATAATCTGAATAACTGATTATTTTAAATACTTTTATTATATACATTTATTAATTTACATCCAATAATCATACATAATATATGAATTATTGTTTATTAATCGAAAAAATGATAAAAATGTGTTAATTCTAAGAGTATTGATTCAAACTTAATATAATTCTATTATTTTAATAAATATATAATAATAATAGTAATGCCATTAATACCCTGTTTAAAACATGATGGATCTTATATTCTATATATCAAACTAGATAAAGATAAAACAGAATTGATTTGTGATGAATGTTGCTTACCATTTTACGATAAAAAATTACATGCTAATTAATCAGGATTAATTCACATCAAGAGTGTATAATTTAATATTCTACTATGAAAGGTATTAAAATCCCCTTAATTATTGCTATCAAATGATTAAAATTCTTTCGTATATGATACATTAAACCAATTTGATAAAATTAATGATAAGTTTATTAATAGTATTCTTGATAAGCTCAATACTCAAATTACGAACATTTAAAATGCATTTCAGGTTGTCTAAAAAGAATTAGAAAAATATGCAAATTAATTTCTAAATATGAAATAGAAATTTAAGAATGAATTGGAAAAAGTAATATTTATAACATAATAGATTATACAATTTGATTAATTTAAATAAATTATAGTGAATCTTGAAAATTTAGGAAATTCAATAAAGTCTGAAGATTTAGAAATAAATGAAAAGATTCTCTACAAATATTTGTAAGAAATAAAAAATATTGATCATAACTAATTATATTTTTCTTTATTTGAGAAAATTGAGGAATTACGAATATAATTTAATGATCTTAAACAATAATAATACCCAGAATGTCAAAAATTATAAGAATAATTGAAATAATTTCTTAATAATTAAATATAATTCATAAATTAAATTAAACAAATAGCTTTTGATTAAGTATTTTCATCAAAAATATTGTCAGCTTAATTCCTAAATAAGATCATTACTATAATTTCATCTAAACTAAATAAATAATTAATAAACTATCAACGAATATACTTGAGTACTCTTGATGGATTAAATGGACAATCCTTTTGGAATAAAGTTAATTACTAATAAAATTTATTAATGATATTTAAATCTAAAAGCGGATATATTTTTGGTGCATTTTCTCCATGTAATTGGATATCAAATTGTAGTGGTGCTTATGTTTAAGATAATACATTGTCATCATTTATATTTTCATAGACTCATGATTAAATATATCCTATTAAAGAAGGATATTAAGGAAATGCAATTTATTGTAATAAATCATATGGACCTACTTTTGGTGGTGGTCATGATCTTTATATTTCAACAGATTTTTAAAGTGGAGGCTCTAATTTAGGATATTCTTATTAATGTGATTAATACCAAATAAGTAATACGAGTACACATTTATTTGGTCAATCAACTCCAAATATAGTAGAATGTGAGATATTGATGTTAACATTTTTATGAATTATATATATATTTAGATTTGAATTTAGATTTTAGTATTTATATTTACTTTAAATGTTTGTTCTTTACATTCAATAATTTGATTTTGAATAGCTTTTACCTTTACTATTTAATAATCAACTGAAATATATGTAATTACATGATATTAAATCTTGAAATCATTAAGTTAAGAAGAACAACAAAACAACGTGTTTTTTTTATGATTAAATAAAAGGATTTCTATAATCTATTACATTTAAATGTTAATAAAGTGATGTATAAATTGGTGCTGTATTTAAATCATAAAATATAATAAAATAAAAATATTACACAACTCTAAATAATTTATCACATTTAATAAGTGTTTTTCTTTTAAAATCAATCAGAGGAAGTTTATGAGGGAGATACAGATAATTTAAAGAACAGATATCAATAAGAGATTGGGAGGAATAATTTAATAACAAAGAAAAATAGAGATTACATTTGAAATCCCTCAGAAATTCAACATTTATCAAAAATAATCTTATTCTAATAAATATAATCGGAATTAATTAAAAGATTTTAAATTTAATATTAAAAGCAAAATCTAAGACAATTCTTTGTCATTCTTTACATTAAGGAAAAGAATAGAGTTTTGCAGAATATTAAAATAAGTATAAAAGAACACTTAAGATGAAATATTAGAAATTCTTTAGTGTATATTATAGAACTGTATATTTAATTATTTTTTTAATTAATTAGATTTAAATTAAAATTAAATAATACTTTCTTAAATAGTATCAATTTAAAAAAGGGCTTAAATTTTGGATATTAATCAATCTCAATAAGCAGATACTATGGAAATGTTAATTTAAACCTATGTCTGTATCATCAGTTTTTAAATAGCTGTTATATTCCATTCAATTGAAGAAATAGGTAGGTAAATAAATAGTCTTTGTTTTACCTTTTTTATGATTCATAGATTCTATAAATATAAGGTTTATATCAATATTCATCCTATTGACAGTATAAACTTATTTGAGTATTTCCGTTTAACTTTGAGTTAGTATTATTTGATTAAAAGGTTAAAATAATTCAAGCATAATTTCATAGATTGCAATCCTTAAGTAAGATAAACATAAATAAAGAATCTTAGAATATCTGAACCTTATTAAGGTGTGTATTTAATATATTTAAAATCAAAAAATAATTGCAATAAAATTTTTTAATGTAATTTAATTAATTAAATCTTATTTATAATTATAAAATACAAATTATTGTTATTCTTTTAATTAAGAAAATTATTTAGATAATATTATTCATAATTTTAGATATTTTAAGATACATTTAATTGTTTTATATTTATTTAATTTTATGACAACCTCATTTATCTGTATTAATAAATAATTATAATATTTGAATTGCTTTTAGACCAAAAAAATAGATATTAACTCTAAAATGCTCTTCATTAAATTCCTCTATTCTTGAATTTCCATTTAGATTATCATTAAGGCCACTCAAATGTTCACTAATATAATAATCAATTTCAATCTCTATTCTTCATTCCAACTATAAAATCATAATATTTTTATTAAACTTATTATTTTTTTAAATCCAAATTTATTTTAATAATTTTCATCCAGCATATATATTTGTATTTTTGTTATACTTTCTCTTGAATTCATTATTCAAATAAATTATATTCAATCAAATATCGTTTATCTTTTGAATATTTTATATTTATTAGATAACTCCAAAAAGATAAGAAATCCTCTATTTATTCAACCTAGCAGTGATGCAAAATCAATCTATACAGTTTTGAATTTTCTACAACAAATTTCTTAAATATCTTTATACAAAGGAGGATTCAAATAGTTTAATCAAATGACCTATAAACATAATTATTTATAGATACCATTTTCATACAGAATAGGAAATCATGGTTTTATATCAGCTATAAATATTTTTAGATCGGTATTAATTAAATCTTAAAAAATATCTTCTTAAGAGACATCTCTCTTATTTTCATTCTTTCTTTTTACAGTTTCTTTTTCTATATATAAACAGTAACTTATTTGGTAGATCCAGGCAACTAAATCATGTTAAATACAATAAATTTTAACTAGATTTTAAATGCAAATAGATATCTAAATTAGATTATAATTTTTATGTCTACCTATATTTTAATATCAATTTACCATTTTTTTGTAAATTGTTTGAGATTTTTAGACTGACTTAGAGGTTATTAGAATTCCTTCAATTAAGCTTAAAACAATCAAGCCTTCAATGCCTCAATGGCATCTCCAAATGTCTTAAAAATTAAAATTTGGTATATTGGAGTATATGCATAAATATTTTAGGGTGTAATCTTCAAATTTTCATTGAAAATAAATGCTCTTTAGGTATTTTTATAGAACATGATATTGGTTTATTATCAAAAGGTTCATTTAATAATAGAAATTTAATAATATTCCAAATTTCTAATCTATAATTTTTCTGCCCATTAGATTATAGATTTACAATACCTATGTTCCATGTTTATTTATGATAGAAGCATCCACGTGAACATTTTAATTTCTAAACCAAATTTCGAGTCCTCTGTAAAGTATATATAGGCAGCAAATAGATATAAGTTCTAAAATACAACCTTAAAAACAAAGGAAATCTTCGTTTTTATAATCTTTATGTTTATGGATGATATATTATTTCTGACTAAAATAATTATAGGATTTCCTTCTCTTTTTAAAAGTTATAATATTTAGGCCATTCTCCTCTTGTTTGAGCCCATATATTGGACTTATTGAGAAAAATGAAATGGAAGATACTAAGTTTTATTTTTTTCTCATAAAATTCTTTGATAAAGAAAGAGCTCCAGTAAATTAATTTATATAAAGAATTAACCTATTTAAAAAGGGGCTGATACTGCATTTTATAATACATAAACACTCAGAGTTTAGTGATGAATCTAAACTTACTCAAAGCTTTGCCTTATCTATTGAATATAAAAATGGATACTCAAAGTTTTTATCCCATCTCTTTGCTTGAAGGAGTTCTTAATAACAGCTATCTCTATCATATAGCTAATGCTATAAACACTAATATCATGATTAATTATATTTCAGAAAATTACAGAAGAATATAATTGATATACGGAATAATAGAACTATCCATAAAAAAATTACTAAACATTTTTCTTTGAAGAAAATGTTATATAGAATTCATATTGTGGGATCTTGAATTATAGAAATTATTATGATAGAAGAAACAAAAAATGGAGAGGCAGAATATACCATTTAAAAGCAAACTTTTAAAGACATAAATAACTAAATCTTCAATGAGTCATGAGCTGGATAGCTCTACATAACAAACAGGATGGTGAACTTAGATCCTCTTTTAACTATCAATCCTCATTAAAAGACAAAAACATAAGAACTAATATAAACATAATGGAACATAAGCTCAATGTAAACTAAAAAGCCCACACATATTTTGCCTTGAAGAAATACAATACTATTAATTTTAATATTCTCTTAATTATAATTATTTTAAGTCGGTGGACTTTCTGATAGATCTGGTGAAGTTTATTGGAAGTTATAAGTATTTTGACACAAAAGATGTTAAAAGTAAGCTTAAACCAAAAGTTTAAAACTGAAATTATATTTGTTTCAAAATAAGAAATTAAAAAACAGATTTAATTTTATTTAACTTCTTTTTACATAGAGGCTAAGAGTATGTTAAAAGCTAAAATAATTTAAAACTCTGATTAACGAAATTATAATCAATTATTACCATAGCCTTTTTTTTAATATCGTTGGTTTGAGGGAACCTTTAGATTCCCTTTATATGAAACAGTCTCCTCATATATTTTAATAATAAAATCGATAAATTAATTTTTTAAATATAATTTTAAACTTGAATATGATTCTTTTTATCATCCATGATGACACATATACACTATTAATTGTAATTTTACGCAGATTAAATATTAATACATGTTTAGAAAATGTTCTCAAAAAACCAAAACAAAATATTTTCTAAAATTGAATTAATTAAATAGGCGACACATCTTAATTAATAATATGTTAAATTTATTTTTTTTAGTTCATGAAACTAAAATTAGAATTAAAAACCTTTTTTTTTAAGATACAAAAATATATGTGTATCAAAAAAACTTCATGTTTAGATTTTTTGGACTTACAAAACGAAAGTCTTTCAAAATATTATTCAAGATATTTTATAGTTTAGTTATTTTTATTTTTTTATTTAGATATAGATAGAAACTGTTTCTATTAAGGGAATCTAAAGTGTTCCAGAAAAAAAACAATTTGAAACAAGGCTATGGTAATGCTAAGTATCAATCTAAAATTGGATAATAAATTTGATTAACATTACTAAAATAAAAAGAATTTAAATCTCCCCTTTCAATAACACCAAAAGATATAGTAGAGAATAATTAAAATAAGGAATAGATAGGGTTTGAATTTTAATAGATTAAATAATTAAGTATATTGTGCTCCAAAATGAAGGAAGGAGAAATTTATAGGCGCGATATAGAGAAGGAAGAAAAAATATAATATTTCTCACAGATTGAATAATTATAATAAAATTAAACAAAAGTAGTTTTAAGTTCTCTCTATAATTTTTTTGAGAAAAGATAAATTGTTAATTTAAACAAATACAATAAAAAAAAATGAAATACTGATTTTTAAATGGAGTTGTTGAGGGCTTACCCATATTCCCATCTTTATTCAATATTTATTTAGACTAATTTCTGGAGAATTAAAATAGAAATATTATTTTATAAGCATTAATTATATTGTATATGCAAATGACTTATTTGGATAAAATTCATAAGAATATTTTTTGTAATGTTAGGAGAAGAAAGTAAAAATTGGAACTTGTGTATTAAATAGTCAAAATCAACATATATATACACAGAGAATCATTCAAAAATTGAAGCATTTGAAATTTTCAAATCAAGAACCACATTAAATAATAATAGATTCGAATTAAAAAATTAACCAAAAAGTGAAATTGGATTCGTAGTGAAATGAAGATGATGTTATAATTGAATTATGAAATTTATATAATAATTCTTTACCTCAACATTAAGAGACTTGTGTAGAATTCAATTTAAGAATATTAAAACAGATTTTATTTAAATAATAAGACAATTTTTTTAAATTGCAATTGGCTTACTAAAATAGAAAAAAATTAAATTATTGATAGGTTAACTAATTTAAAATATAAGAACTAGATTCCGAATAGTTTTAGAATTAATTTAAAAATTTCTATTCCATAATTAATAAGGATCTTTTGATCATATTAAGATTTAAATATTTAAGCAGAAAAAGTGATTGATATAATTAAAGTGAAAATAGATATGATAACAGTTTAAAGGTTACTAGAGTTTGAAATTGAAAATTATCAAATATAATTAGAGAGAGTCTTAGTATATGCTCCTTAACATGATTATGTAATAATAATAGCAATTCAAAATCTTTTGTAACTAATCTTCTTCATCTGTCTATTTTATATAATTTTGTAAGTTTTTGTGTTCTTTTTTGTTTTTCAGTTCTAAAGTTTCCAATTTATATCTTCTGAAAATTAGGAGGGGTCTTAAGCAGATATAAAGAGGCATAAACTGTTTTAAAAAAGGTGAACTAACGATAAATATTGAATATCTTCTTAAGTAAAATTAATTAACCCATCCTCCTGCATAGGATTCTTAAACACTTCTTGCTTGCAATATATGTTAC